TTTATTTAAACAAAAAAGTATTCATTGAAACTTCAAAGACATTTTTTATAACTTAGTATAAATAAAACTTGGCGACCTTAATTATAATCAACAGTTAATAATTTAAGACAATAATGCAAAAAGGTGTTAACTCACATTTAAGGTACGATTTTTGCTATTTAATTTCCAAAAAACTTGAGTCAAAATAATTAGTACACCTATAGGTGTTGTTTAAAATTTTAGTATTGTTCAAATTTATGTATCAAACATAAAATTAATTAAAATTTATTGAAAAAAATTACTACTTAATTTCAGAGCTTTAAACATTAAGTTCACTTTTTAGCATTATGGTCTTCAATTTAATGTACAATAAAATTTCAATAAGGGAATAAGTTACGTAACATAATTCAGTAATTAACATATGAATTGTGAGAATTCTAACATAAAATATATTTATATAAATAATTTTTTTTAACTGTGTATCGAAATAAACAACTTTTGCGTTGCCAGGGGCAATAGTACGGTTGCCCCTGGGGACAGTACGAAACGCCAATATGAATTAAAATTCGACATTATTCTATAAATCTTGGCAAATAGAAAAAATAGTATAAAGAACTCATGTTGTAAGGTTGCCAACAATGATTATTGTAATTTTTTCTATATCCCTTACAGATGCTGCAGTTGATGGTGGTCACATGGCCGAAGTTGAGGAAAAAAAAAGAAAGGCCACATTTGCGAAGGAAATGCAGGAAGTAATAAAAGCAATCAAACAAAGATTTAAAAATAAAACGAAACATAATGAATCTGTAAGTAGACGTGCTTGTTTTGTTTTAAGTTATATAATTTATTTTTGAAGGACAATGAAATAAGACTTCTTATGCCAGGAGGAAGGGCGCCAAGTAATGAATCTGTAAGTATACATATCTGTACCTCAGTGTGAAACTATATGTTAAGTCCAAAATTTAAAATACGACCAGTTTAAATAAATATTAAATATTCTTTTTTGAAGCTAAAAATATTGTACATTTATAATTATAATTATAATTTAAATTACGAACTATATTTTAAGAGTATAATGAAATAGTTTCAAAATATAATTTTTTAATAAATTAAAAACTGGTTTAAATTTTTAACATAGTTTCGCTCTGAGGTAAAGATATATACTTATCTATGGATGTGCTTGTATCATTGTAATTTTACATTAGTATTAATAATGTTATAATTTATATATTTTTTAAGGACCAAAAAGAAATTAAAATAAGGACTGACTCATTTGATGATATGTTCAGTGATGAATCAGTAAGTATACTTAAGTATCTGTAGATAAGTGTATTATTGTAATTTTATATATGTGATATATAATATATTTACCCTCAAGATATCATTCAGAAGATCTTTATACTAACTTTAGAATAATGTCCATTGATAATATTTATAAAAATCAGGTGTGTAGCTTTGTTCATGGTTCTATACAGGGTGGTCCAGGATTAATCTGAAAAATTTTAATGATCGATAGAGCCTGAAAAAACAATAAAAACAAACCCAAAAACATTTTTCAAAAATGCATACTAACGGAGATATGGTCCTTCAAAATAATTTTTAAACCATTAAACCGATTCTTCTCAAATTTTGTGTAGATTAAGCTTTCGTCGATAATATAATGAACAAAAGGCCCAGTGGCGGAGATTTTGGGAGGGGTTTCCCCTTTTTACCCTCATATTTTCGACGCTACTGGATTTTATTAGAAAATCATCAGATTTATTTTTATCCTTTTTCAATCTAAAAGCAAAACTTTTATGTTTATTTTTTATCAGATCAACGGAGATATTTCAGTTTAAAATTTCAAAAACACTGTGTACACGGAACTTTTGTTATTATTTTAGTAATAAAAAATTATTTTTTTTTCTGAACGATTGTTTTGGGCCACTTTACGGTTTTTGGGTTGGTTTGATTTTATATTATAATACAATTAAATTATTAATTACAGACGTTGATTGTAATCCTCAATCAACGTTACAATAAAACAACCTAAAAAATGACGGGATCAGTAACAACTGCACGATGACTCCTGGACGCTAGTTAATTTTTATAATATTTTATAAACTGATAACGTGGCATAATTGTTACCAAGTTACCGATTTAAAATAAAATATGATAAAATTCCGTGTACTCGGTGTTTTTGAAATTTTAAAGTCTCCGAAACCACTGATCTTATGAAAATTTAACACACAAGTTTTGCTTCTAAATTGAATAAGAAATCTGATGATTTTCCAATAAAATCCAGTGGTGTCGAAATATGGGGGTAAAAAGGGGAAACCCCCACAAAATATCCGCCGCTGGGCCTTTTGTAAGAAATTTTACCTAGGTACACAAAATTTGAGCAGAAGTTATTTAAAAAAAAAAACGTTTTTTTGCCTTTGAATGGCTATTAGTGTGATAGTGTGTATTTTTAAAAAAATGTTTGTGGGTTTGTTTTTATTGTTTTTTCAGGCTCTATCGATCATTAAAATTTTTCAGATTAATCCTGGACCACCCTGTATATACTTGAGAAGAAACACACGAAAATTAATTTTAAAGCCAGAAATGAAATACATCTACACAACACAAGAAATAATAATAATTTAGTTTAGTTTCACACGTCTTTTCAAAGTATGGTAAAGCATATTTATTATATAGAGGTGTTAATATATATAACAGCTTACCAGAAGATATAAAAACAAAATCGACAAGACATATAAAAGAGTATTTCAATCCTTGATAAGAGGCTAACCTGCATGTCTTCTTCTTGAGTATTGAATATGAAAAAAAAAGTTCAGTAAATATGTAAATTGTAAATTAATGTATAAAGTATGTTTGTATATTGTATATTTGTAAGACTATAATTATCTTATAAGATAATGTTGCTTTATCACTGTGATAGATATACTTATTGTAATTATTATATGTTTAGAGTTTGTCCCTCTATAAACAATCTATGTTTCTTGGGATCAATAAAGTATTTATTATTATTATTATATATTATAATAAAATATTATATAGTATTATACTCTTGTGTATGCATTAATTAGTATTATTGATGTTATAATTCATATTTTTTTTAAGGATAAAGAGGAAATTGAAACTTCTGAGGTTGATTCCGAATAAACTTTACAACATAACACATTGTGTACTGAAATAAAACGTTTTATTTCAGTATACTATTGTACCTCAAGTTCAATTGAATGGCATAATTGCCTACAAAAATATTCTCCAATTGGACTTAAATCACATCTTTATTTAACATTTTTCATTTGACTTTATTTACAAATAAGTATAACAAAATCTGTTATTTTAAAAAATACCACGTTTTATTTTGTGTTCTAATTTAAAATTATAAATAAACTTTACAACATAACACATTGTGTTTTATTTCAGTATACTATTGTACCTCAAGTTTTATTGAATGGGATAATTGCCTACAAACATATTCTCCAATTGGACTTAAATCACATATGTGATATCTTTATTTAACATTTTTCATTTGACTTACAAATATAACAAAATATGTTATTTTAAAAAATAACACGTTTTATTTTGTGTTCCAATATAAAATTAAGTGCAAAAAAAATTGACTATACGCACGAAATTCACCGTGAATGCGGACGCGAAGATGCGTCCTCCCCTTGAATTCACCGTAAATGCACAAGTGAAGCTCGAAGTGAGTGCGCATGCATGCTCTAAATTCGCGCGAAAAAATTGAAATAATGGTGAATGCACATTTTTTGTTCAGAAAACTTATTTTACTCTATAGGGGAAATTAAGTTTTCTGAACATGCACCCTTATTTCATTTTTTTCGAGCGAATTTAGAGCACGCATGCATTTACGGTAAATTTAAGGGACGGACGCATCTTTACGTGTGCATTCACGGTGAATTCACGTGTGCATTTAAGGGGCGAACGCATCTTCACATGTGCATTCACGGTGAATTCAATGGGCGGATATGAAGATTCACGTGTGCATTCACGGTGAATTCACGTGTGCATTTAAGGGGCGGACGCATCTTCACGTGTGCATTCACGGTGAATTCAATGGGCGGATATATCTTCACGTGTGCATTCACGGTGAATTCCAGGGGCGGACGCATCTTTTAGCAACCGTGAATTCACGCGTGAAGCAATATTTTTCACCGTGCATTCACGGTGAACTCACGAATGTTATCTGTTATCTATCTACTTTAAATACATGATAAAACTACTGACAATTTTTACTATTACTACTAACGTATCGATAAAAAAATAAGTTGGTTTTTTTTATCGTCTCCACCCCCCCAAAAAAGTGTGCCTCGGTACGGCCCTGACTATATCCTATTACTTGCTGCAGACGATCATCAACAACTTTGACATTTTTTGGAAACAAATTTTAGGTTAGTATTTTGAGAGACAAATCTATAAAAAATGTTAAAAATAGATATATTCATTATTTCTTAGAAACTGATTGGGTCATCGTCAAAATCTTGGACTTTTTAAATTGGTAGCCTTCTTCTGTTTGCCAAAGATATGAACACTTTTAAACCTTAGATTTTTCTTTGTAATATACAAGAAATATATTTTCATTGATTTTGCTTTTTAAATCGCACCACAACAAAAAATTTATAAGCGATTTTTTACTGTTCCTTGTTTTTTTTGGCAACAATTCAAAAGTAGCTCTACTAGCTGCTTCATTTATTTCCACATTTGGATCGGTTTCTTCCATCGAAAATCCCTAATGAAAGTTATTCAATTATCAAAGAAGGATTTAATATTATTAATAAATAGATTTAGGAAAATAATAAAAAACTCCAACAATCGCATAACTTCATATATTTTTATTTAAGACAATAAAATGGATTCCTAGGTTTTTCACAGTTAAGTTTTAAGTGTACTGGTTTTAAGTGTATGACTGTACATAATATGTTATGGTCGTTTTATCTAATCAATAAAAGATAATGAATTATTATATATAACATATTTAATTAATTTATTATATTAATATTTTTCCTGAATGTAGATTTACATTAATTTATTGCAGTAACATTTATATAATTTTTTAACAATATCATGGCAAAAATAGTTGATGCATATTTAAGTATTTTTTAAGGTAGGTGTGGTCTTAAAAGTAATATATTTTTGTTCATAACTGTTATATATTTTTAGCATTTGAACATTCCAATAGGGATTCCAATATGGAGGTAAGCACATACTAAGATTTTATTGTTCAGAGTAATGTTGGTTTTTTTTATTTTAAAAATAAATAAAAGAACCATGAACACATTTATTTAAAAAAAAAATAATAATTTTCACTGCCAAAAAATCTGTCTAAATTTATTTGTAGAAGAAAATGTCTAAAAATGTCTAGAGGGGCCCCTTTTCAAATAAATGAATTTTCTTAAACTAATAATTTACTTTTCTTTGTGTGTAAAATTTAAAAAAAGCGGCATTGAGAAGTTTATTTTGCCGGCATTCACCCTAATTTTTTCAAATGGGAAGGGTTATCTTGTGATACATCTTTTGAATGGTATTAAATTTTCTTTAAAGTGGCGCTTTGTTTTTTACTGAGGCAGTAGTAGATATATTTACTGATGCAAAATTAATTTTTAATTCTGGTTAGGATTTTAGTAATCCAATTTTTAATTTCCGTCTCATTTTACTTTGAAAAAAATAGGTTTGACAACTTGCATCTTTAACACCCCTGGAAATTTTGTAGATCCCGGCCTTGACTAGGGATGTCAATCCCGAAAGGTGTTCGTAATTCCGGGATTTTCGAGATTTGTACTACTAATCCCGGGATCCCGGGATGGATGTTCCAAAAAAAAACAAATAACATTCAAAAACTTTTATTGTAAAAAGGAAAATTAACAAAAAAACTCTTAAACGAAGGATTATAAATTTTTAAGAAAAAAAAGGATTATACATTTTTTAAAAAATACCGCAAAAATATTAGCGTCTAAAGTTTCATCTCCCAGCCTCGAACGTATTTTGTTACATAAAAATCCTCTCAGATTCGTGACCGTCTAACCTCAATAGCTTGAAATCTGTTCAATATTTTTTCTTAGTACCAGAAGAACTTTTTATCAATAGATCATAAACTAAAACATATCCAAAATTCAAATATTTTCATTGAAGTCCTATTAGTTTTGTGCGGGGTCCTTTACATTATTTTAGTATTAAAATTAAAATCGTGCATTACCTATCTTTTTCTTTATTAGCCTCTTGGCACGTTAGATCCATTTTACACAATAACTAACAAATTCTTCTTCTTTGAATAAAATATTCAATACAACATCTAATCACAGAGGGCACATCTAATCTAAGCGAGTAAATTATAATTATTGTGCCGCGGTGAATCCCCAAATTCCGGTTTAAGTGTCCGTCATGTTTTCGGATTACAGGTTGCAACGTTGTCGGCTTTCGAGTTAATTAATTTAATTTTGAAATAGAGTAAGTAAGCTAATTAATATATGCATACAAAATCGGTATTAATCCTGAGATTAGGTAATCTTGTCCCGGTATTTTCGAGACAGGTTTTTTCTTCAGGATTTCGGGATCCCGGGGTCCCGGGATTGACATCCCTAGCCTTGACAGAATAAATTATTTTTCTAAATCCTGTGTTATCAAAAAATATTTTTTAGTTAACACGCCGAAAAGGAACTGTCAATAAAGGCCATGATTTTGAGTTTGACGTAATCACATATCTGGTTTTAAGTGGCCTACAAGAAGGATGGAAAAACTTCCACATTTACACAAATGTTGATCAATTTGGAGCATTTGACGATATAATAATGCATATTGAAAAGGACAATTTTAAAAACAAGCTATTTTTTATACAATTGAAATCGAAAAATGGACAAGTACTCGCAGACTCACTTTCAAGGACTAATGGAGATTTTAGTATACCAAAATATGAAGAATGTTTCAAAGATATAATATTAAAAACCAACAACCAGGAATTAATATTGAATAATCACACTTTTAGTATGAACGAAATTTATTGTATACTATTTACAAATGCTGAGTGTTTATATGAAAAGCTCCAAAAATTTAAATTGGTCCACAGTAACTGTTGTATCGATAAAACTTTTTTTAATATGGGAGGAGATATGGATACTTTTTGTATACAAAATACTGAAAATGTATTTTTAGAAAAATTTTCAATTTTTTCTAAACAAAATCAGGGCGAACAAATAGATAAACTTGTGTATTCAAAGTTTTACTTAAAAAATTATTTGGGAACAAAAAGTAAAATTAAAGATTGGGCAACAAACAAAAAAGTTACACCTTTTAGCTTGTTGAATGCTGTGCAACTTTTTTTGGAAGACGTAGTTTATATCAAGCCACACGAAACAGTTAAAACTAATAACATAGATGTAATACTGGAAACTATAAGGGAATTTAATTTTACCTTAATAAAAACTGATAAAGCATTGGGCATACTGTGGAATGGAATTGCTAACTTTATTATAAATAAATTTGATCTTCAGGATGTTAGCCCTGAAAATGAGTCATTATCGTTTCGTGATTTAGAAAAAATAAAAAATGCCAATATTATAAAAATAGGCGAATCTATTAATTTCACTCAGTTATTGATACGTTGTTGGTACCTGGAAATAATTCCAATTATAATTAAAATAGATAACGATATCTTTTCGCAATTTGATAAATTTATTAAAAACTTTATTTGTATAGCTAAGCACCGACCACTTATAATTTTTAGTAATCAAAGTTCAAACAATATCAAAGAAATATCTAAAAAGATAAATTCTGATTCACTGTTTAATTTTTCAAATTTAACAAAATCACAATTATCAAAAAATTGTAATTTAATTCAAATAGGTTTTCAAAATAAAGGGTTAATTAACTTTGGTAAATTAAAAAAGGTTTATATTAAGGAATCCAAAATATGTCCAGATTTGTATGTAGAGTTACTAAGTGAAACCATAAATTTTGGAACTTTAGTTAATTGCGACTTTTACATAAATCGAAAAATATATCAGCCCCTATTAATTAGAAGCGTTTTAGAAAATTCAGATGCTGAGTTTATAATATATGATTATAAAAAAAAATTTAGAAATACACTAACTTCATCTTTAATACGTCATATTAAAGCAAGACCCAGTAAAAAGGATAGAATTCGTTTTGAGGGAAAATTAAATACACGGGCAAAATCTATTCATGTATTAAAATATATAAATTTGCATAATACAGATTTTTATTACTTTGAATGGATGTACTCTATTGGGGATGTTGAAGAAATTTCACATTATAGAATAAATTTAAAACCTTATTATTTAAAAGATTTCAAAGTTTTTGGTCATTTTAAAAATCAAATTAACGTAATATATGACCAATCAGGGATGGGTAAAACAATGTTTTTACAATTTTTGCAAAAAACATTACAAAAAATGTATGTAATTTACTTAAATCTAGATGAAATTAAAACACAATTAAAAATCGACAATTTTTTAAAATGCATTGTTAAAAATGAAGTACAAAAAAAAACATATTTAAAAAGATTTAAACATTTTTATGAACATTTCTTATACAGCATGAACTACCAGGGTTGTTTAGTATGTTGTTTAGATGTAGATAATGAAATTCCTTACTTAACAGTTAAAGCCATACAAATATCAAAATTAAAAACATGGATATCCACCAAACATTTTAACTCCGAGGTATTAAATCGACTCTCAATATTACCGGTATCCTTATCTGAATTTAGTAAACGAGAACAAACTAGTTTTATTGGAAAAATGATAAATGATAGCAATAAAACAACGCAAATAAAACATTACATAAACTGTTTTGTAAATTATTTTAATGGCACTCCTGAGCATGTAATGATGTTGGTTGAAATGATTAAAAATTTAAGTATTCAAAATAATAATTTTTTAGATATTATAGACGAATATATCAAGAAAAAATTAGAAAAAATAGTTGAATCCAATGCTGTGGATCACTTAAAATATCAATTGGCTCGTTATTCCTATAGTCAAAAGTTTAAAGAAAATCAAATATATGAATTTAAAGAGTTAATTACGTATTTTATAAAATATTGGGGAACAGTTGACAATAAACATTCTATTTTAAATCTAAATCTAACAAATGTGCCGTTTATTAACTTTTATGTTGGTGAATTTTTGTGTGCAGATTTTCTGATTAAACAGATTAGAGAAAACATTGATTCAATAACATACCAAAACCTAATGGAAAAAGGGTCACAAAATATTAGATATATTTTCGATCTTGTAGCGGCCAAAGATTGCGACTTGCTTACAGCTTTTTTAAAATCAGATAGTAAAGGTATAAGAAAATATAAAAAGAATATAACACAAACCGATATATTTGGAAGGACATTTATGCATATTGTAGCTCTTCACCAAAATATTTTTTTGGACTTTAAGAGTAACTGTAAAATTATAATTAAAATTTTACTAAAGTGCCCAGCCGATAAGGACAAATTTAAATTTGATGCATTTGATTATGCAATAAAATTAAAATCTTATGGAGTTTTAGATATTTTATGCAAAAGATTTTCAATTAAATTACCTTTGTCAGAAGATACATTATCAGAAATGCTGATAGTATCACTGCGACAAAATTATATTAATATTGTTAAAGGAATGCTTAAGAAAAATATTTTAAACCTACAGATAAAGGGAGAAACTCCTCTTATAATTGCAACAAGATTATCATGTTTAGAAATTGTTCAAATTTTGTTGAGCAATGGAGCTGATCCAAACACTGTAAACCTGGACGGACAAACTCCCCTTATGATTGCAACAGGATTATCACGTTTAGAAATTGTTAACATTTTGTTGGGCAACGGAGCTAATCCAAATATAAGGGATAACCAGGGCAAAACTGCCATTTTTCATTGGTGTGACGTTCAAATGACAAAAACTAGCTATACAATTTTTAAACTATTGCTAAAACATAATGCCGATTTAGATATTTATGATAAAAGTGTGATGACGCCTTTAAAGTATTGTTCAGAAATTAAAAACTATGATAAGGTTGAAGCCTTGCTGCGGCTTGATAAAGGCAGGGACAAACCGCCCAATGGGCAAAATGACCAATTGCCCGAAATTATAAACAATAAAAAGATTGATGGGGATGGACATAATGCGCAATTGTCCTGTCAGAGCAGGCCTTTTCAGCGCCCGAAGCAAAATAGAAAAAGGCTCTATATCTTGCTATTGTTTATTTTTTTGGTTGTGATTTATCAGCTCAATTTTAAATGAAATAATTTTCAATACATTCCAACAGACATGCACAAAATAAAGATTTATAAAAACGTATCTAAAATATTGAACGTCTTATAATAGTTATTTATATCATAAGGCTGAGAAGGGAGTAAGTTTAAATGCCGACGCATAGCGGAGGCCTACAATTGAGCGAAGCACAAAAATACACTTCTTAGCTGCATGGCATACAAGATCTTAAAAGCATAATTTTATTTGTCAAACAATACAATTATAATAGCTATTAAAAGAAGAAAGTGATGTTAGTTTAGATCTGACAGTAGTTTGATTGGTCGAAAAGGGTTTTTACCCATAAAAACTTTACCTGATTGCTCTAAATTATTTCTACAGCCTAGGAGGTTTTTTGATTAAAGATAATAGTATATTAAAATAGAAGTATATAATTTTTTCGTTTTTGGATTTTATTTAGTATTATTTTAAATTTTTTGTGATCTTCCTTACTTGGAGATTTTTCTCGCAAAATATGTGAGTTGGTAACACTAAGCTACTAACTAACTGACTGGAGGATTTTATTTACTATTGTCAAAGTTTTTAAATGTTTTAGTGATATTTTTAAACAATTTGCTCATTCGAAACAAGAATGACACAACTCAAAATCACAGTTTTTGAGAAAACGCATTTTAAATGTCTTATTACTGTTTTCCATTTACCAAGCCCTGTAAATACCTATAAAAGCTGGGCTCAAATATTTTGTTGTTTAGGCATACTCTCTAAAAAACAGTAATAAAAAATTTAAAATGTGTTTTCTCAAAAACTGTGATTTTTGAGTTGTGTCATTGTTGTTCCGAAAAGATACACAATAATTATTATTGTGTATCTTCTAGTGATGTAAAATATCACAAGAGGTTAGGCTCATTTATTTGTTAACGTTTGGAAAGTTCCAACACTTAAAAACTAAATATCACCAAAAATCGTTTAAGTATGACCATTCTTCGACGATTTCACGTGAGAAAATATAACATTCTTACTCCAAAATCTAGAAACACTTTTTTATTTGAAATCGAATTTTAGTTGACATTAATATTTTTTATTCTACACCGCAAATTTTGATTGAACTATTAGTGAGATTGTTGTTTTTTTAAATATATTTTGTAGAATAATAAAATTTATACTTTGATAAGTGCTTAAAACACAGATAAGAGCTGTGTTGTGCAGGTATTTTGCTACCTTCTTTTCGACCCTTACAAGCTCTTTCTTATTCCACATACATATATATATAGTCACAATTCTAAATGTTTTAAAAAAGTACATATTTGTAAAAATATTTTGTAATTAAATTAATAAATTTATTTTATAAAAAACTGTATATTTTCTACTAGATGTAATGTATTATTGTTAATAAAGAATTAGAAATTTTTTATATGATTAATTTATTGAACCTTTTTGTTTTATTTTTGTATAATTTAGCGGCAAAGTATATATTGTTCAGATGGTATTGATTAAATATTGATATTATCAAAAAATATTTAAAAAAAACAACTAGACAAGAAATAAAAAATGAAAACTTAAGTCTTTAGAATAAAGATATTTTTAAATATTTTCAAAAAAGTACCTACTTAAAAAGACTTTTTTTAACCTAAATTTAAAAGAAATGTATATTTAATGGTACCACGACTTATGTTTAAGATTAACGAATTTAAGTGAGTTTTATTTTGGTGCAACACGCGAAGTTGAACTTAGCGTTAAGTTATGGTTTTTCAACTATGCCTTACGAAGTAAGCTATGGATTTTCATATATGTAAACAATATTTTAAAAATCTTTAGTCAATAAAATAAAATTAAATGAAAATCACTATTCAATATATACAATACTTTCTTTATTAAGAAATAGTAAGTAAAAAAATACATACAACAAAATACCTAATGCTTTAACCTTAAGAACAAATACAATTTAATATTTAATATTAAATTTTAACAATCCTGTATTTCTACTACCCAATTTTAATTAAATACTACATTGATTTTTACTGATTAGCACCTAAAATTTTAAAACATATTTTACTGCAAACAACATAAGTTGTCTTCAGAAATACATATTTTGAAATTTATAATAGAATTTATTAAATATTATTGCTACAATTATTAAAATGTCTTTTTACAATTACATATATAGGTACCCTGAATCTTTAAACAACTTAAGTTGTTAAAACAAGTTAATTTTAATATATCATCATGTATCATCATTAACAAATATAACATTTCTCTAGATTAAAATTAATTTTCACAATTTTTAAAATTTAGAATGCGCGCACTAATATTACATTCCTAAATGATGTATTGTATACTAATATAAATAACGATTAAGTACTATAAATAAATCATTTTACATCAAATTGTGGTCAAGTATGTATTCACCATACCAACTTCTCTTCAACACTAGTTAAATATATTTACAACTCTTGGAGAACAAACATAAAAAATATAAAATTGAGCAAATATTATAATGATCACCTTTTATACAAGGATTTAAATGTATACCATAGTTTCTTTAAATAAATACAAATCTGATTTTTTAAAGAAACTATATCGTTTGAGATTTATTTGAGTATACTACACCTTGTACAGCAAGGTGTTTGAAATTTAAAAGACAACAAAAAACTACTGATATTAAAAATAAAATATATAAAAGCCAAAAACATTTTATAGCACCTCGATAAAAAATAAACTGAGTGGTTGAGCACTCTTTCATTTAATGCATACTTGCACATTGGTCGATCCACTTAGAAAACTACCCAACAAAATTTCAATCGACTAAATCTCACTGCGACTTTATCCTGTTCCGTACGTCGCCATTGCTGTAATATTCGCTGGCATTTTTGAATCCGTTCTTTTTCGAGTAGCCGTTGGTGGTGGACGCTCCGTTTTTCACTTTGCCGTTTTGGGGGGCTGCAGCAGCGGCCTTTTTCGCTTTGGAGGTGTACTGTTGGTTGTAGAACTCCTTGAACAGGAAGAAGAACATGACGGCATGCATTCCGATCCACCAGACAAAGGCACGGGGATAGTTGCAGTCGATGAAGAGCAGTTGGAAGGCGTGGAGCATTATGGCAACGAATTGAACCTTAAATAGTAATTTATGTCATTAATACACTTACACTGTTAAAAATATCTGCGGTGTAAAGAATAATCTTAAAATGGTGTCAAAATCCAACACCAAGTGGTGTTAATATAAACACCACGAATTATGGTTAAAAATGTTGTTTACAGCACGCACCAATACGGTGTTTATCTAAAAATATTTGAGAAGTGCACCTACACAGAAAAAAAGCAATAGTTCATTTAACTACCTATATTAATTTAGTTGAATAAGTATTTATTCAAATCAACTGTTGGAAGGTTAATATAAACAAAGATTAGTTTGACGGTACTAAACCAGATAATAATTTTATTTTTTTTAACCCAGAAAACTTTACACGGTGCTGTTCTGAGAGGTGATTTTTGGACTTTCTGTGGAACCAAATTTTTTTTATATTCTTGTTAATTAGGTCATAACTAAAATTTTAAGAGCAAAATAAAAAAAATTTGACGGTTAATTTTGTTTTAATTGGATGTTTATTAAAAATATGTATGCACACTTTCAATTCTTCAATTAAAACTTGCGATTTTATTTAAATATTATCATAACGTTTTAAATCAGATTAAAGATTAGTTAATTTCCTAAAAAAAGGTCTATACATTTTTTATATCTTTTACTGTTTTGTTGTAATACACGTTTAAAGTTTTAATTTAAGGTTAAATGTATAGTATACATTTATTAAACAATAATTCTAAGGGTGCCACATTTTATTTAGGGCCGATTTATTCATTTTTGATTTATTTGACGAATAATTTCTTTGGATACTAGATATTGCCAAGACATGAAAGTTATCGTCCCGATAAACTTTACTAAAGATGAATAAACCGGTCCTTAGTTAAATCTCATGAATTTCTTCGTAACTTTTACTACAATTTTTCATTTTTGTTTATAAAAAACACTTTAAAAAACTAAACAAAAATTATAGAATACGTATACCGAAAATGACAATTCAAACGTCAAATAAATTTTTAATAGATCTAAGTTTCATGGCAACCTTTAAGGATATATTAATTAAGGGAACATAAACGTATACGTCAAAGGTTAGATTAAAAGTTTAAACGTTTATTGCAACTAAACAGTAAAATATATAAAAAAAATTGTAAAAACCTTTTTTTTAGTTAGGCAAATATTAAATATTTAAATTAAATCGCTAGTTTTAATTGGATAATTGAAAGAGTGCATAATATTTTTAATAAACAGCCAATAAAAACAATTCAAACCGTCAAATTTTTTTTATTTTGCTCTTAAAATTTTAGTTATGACCTAACTAACAAGAATATAAAAAAAAATTAGGTTTCACAGAAAGTCCAAAAATCACCTCTCAGAACAGCACCGTGTTTAGTCAAACCAACCCGCTGTATGGTTCGGTTTACTAAATATGTTGGTGGTAAAATAAGAGTTACTTCAACCTAAAGCACTCTGTTAAAACGATTAAAACAATTTGCCGTGCATTCCTGATTGCATAGTGTGTACCGATCGCGGCAAAGGCGGTGTGAATCACGTGATATTCTTAAATCTCGCCTCTGTTGACTTACATGAAGAGTATATAAGCTCAGGTAGTCCTTTGCTTTGGTGTGACACTACCAGTTGTTCGATACTAGAGACCTTGAATAGGTGAAAACAGCTGTCAATACTTGAAGTATTTTAAGTTGGTGGAACGCACTAAAATTATATCTAACGAGTTGAAGGTTTAATTTTCTTGAATAATACCACTGGTAATATACTAGTAATGCGTCAAGGAACTTCCTGTTTCATTTTTTTCTGTGTAGTATAATTTGACCAAAAACACATAATATTTAACACTGAAAATAAGTTCAATTAACACCAGTTAAAATTTATTTTAATACTGTGTGAAAGTTAAATTTACACTAGACCAACGAACCATATTTAACACCATTTTGGTTTGTATCGATATAGACCATGTATGGTGTTAATTTGGTGTTAAAATGGTCATGAAATTTTGAACAGTGTATAAACAGTTTCAACAATGTAGAGCTGCGGAGTAGTGCTACAGAGCGTAGGTATCAACAAAAAAAATTGCGCTTTTTAATGTTGTTTTCTATTTATAAAATAAATTTTACCAATTGTTAATACCAAATCTCTGCAGCACTGCATCTTTACAGGTCACCAATGTTTTTTGCATATTTTTAAAAATTTTGATGAATTTGAAAAATGAGACCGCGAGATGTTTAAATCCAAAAAAATTAAATCTAAGCCTATTTTTAGTGACACGTTTTACGAATTAAGACTTCATAAATCTTGGTAAATTTATAATAATATTAATACTATACAATAATAGTACGAGGTGTGTTCAGAAAATATCGGGAATTTTCTTTTTTGAAACAAATATTTATTTATTTTTCTACATTAATGTTGTCGCCTTCAAAATAGTCCCCATTGGATATTATGCACATGTGCCAGCTCTTCTTCCAATACTCGAAACACTTTTAAAACTCGATCTTTGGGATAGCCTTTAGTTCTTTCAGCGATGCGCTTTTAATGTCATCTATGCTTGCAAACGACGGCCCTTTAAGGTTCTCTTTATTTTTGGGAATAGGAAAAAGTAACACAGAGGCATGTCTGGCGAATATGGAGGCTGGGGCATCATTACAGTATTGTTTTTGGCCAAAAATTTTGTTCAAAATTTAACAATTTTAGAACAAATTTTGCTGCCACGCGTTTCATACCCAAAACATTCGAAAAAAATTCATGGGATGAGCCAATTGATATACCAACATCATCAGCGACTTCTCTGATGGTTTATAACCATTTCTTCCACTTTTTCCATGTTTTTATCGGTTGTTAATGTGCTTGTGCGTTCGGGGCGTTCGTCATCTTTAACGTCTTCACGGCCATCTTGGAAACTCTTATACCACTTGTAAACTCTTGTTTTACTTATAGTAGACTTACTATAGGCCTTTGTTAACATTTCACAGAATTTATTTCATTTTTTAAGCAAAATTGGATACAAATTCTTTTAACGAACGAAAAATCGCCGAGCTCATAAAACACGTCTAACCTTAGCGGCTGCCACAAACAAAGTAAACAATGAAAACAGCTTAAGTTTTTATCATACTTTGGGGGCATGTATACCAACATAATAAAGAAAATTTTATGACAACCGGACCCTCTGAACCCGCGAAATTTAACAATTCCCGTTATTTTCTGAACAAACCTCGTATATTATGTATCAAGTTTGATAAATGCCATTTTAGTTACGAGTTTTATTAGGCACGAGCGAATCTTGCAAGTGAGTGTTTAAAAAAACGAGTGTCTGGAGAAGTTTATAAAACGAGTTGTATACTATATTCTACCTACGACGAACACAAAGAAGAATTTAAAGCCAATTTTATTTGTTTAACATTTAACATCGTCATAAAGTCACAGCCCGTCAATGTAGGAGTAGATAATAGTATATTATGTATCAAGTTTGATAAACGCTATTTTAGTCATTTAATTTAGGCACGAGCGAACTTGCGAGCGAGTGCTAAATTAAATTAAATTTTTTTACGAGTTGCATACTATACTTTTTCTACGAAAAATATATAAAATCTAAAAAATGATTTAAACTAAATATTTGTGTAAAGCGACATCTATACGAAAATAAAGTAACCATCTCAATAAACATTTTTAACGTAATTCTCACTATTTACATTGCCCGTTATTATTTTAATTCAACCACAATTATTGATACTTAAAAATATTAAAATAACTTCAAAATATGCTTATGTTACGAAAATATTTTATCCTTTGATTTTTTTATTACTATAATTGCAAAATATTTTCACAAAGTATTAAAAATCTCAAATTTTTCTCTGTAAATCAAAATTTATCTCTTGAAAATAGACTAACAACTGATATAGAAGCAGTTTTTCACAGTAAAGAGAAGAGAATGTTTTATGGGCACTGTACGCAAAATTTTTAACGCTTTTCAGTGAAATCTAGTTAACTGCACTACTACGTCGAACTCAAAGATCAGATCTTTTTAAATATTGGCGTCAAGAAACTATTTAATGATGTATATTTAAAGTGTAATGGAAACATGTACAATAATGTTAAAGTTATGAGTAGGTAATTAAAGATATGAGTAGAAAATAGTATATTATGTATCAAGTTTAATAAACGCCATTTAAAGTTTATAAACGAGTTACATACTATACTTTTTCTATAGAGTATACGTCAAATACTAATTATAATTATAATAATTATTATCCAAAAATGATTTAGTAGTATTTGTATAGAGCGCCATCTCTAAAACAATAGGAGAATCTTCGTTACCGTCAAATGTCAAATTTGTATGTTATAAAGATAGGATAATAAATCAAAATGTATCTTTTGAAAATGGATTAAACAACAGTTTTTCAAAGTAAAAGTAGAGAACATGTTTTATTAGCGCTTCACGGTGGAGTCCGAGCCCGACTTTAAGTTATATTTAGTTTAATGCTGGCGAATTTAAAAGGTCAGAACAATGTTCATATAAACTTTGCAAATATTGGCGTTGTATTGAGAATATAAAATAATTTTTACATTTAGTTTTATTTTAAAAGAAGTGCACTTAATTTTAAAGATTGTAAGACATTTGACAACTGTCAACTAACTTAAAGCTAACTTTAGCCCGTGACTAAAATGCCATAAAGCCACAACTTGTCAATGTATATTTAAAAGGTCAATTGGTGTCATGGAAACATGTACAATAATGGGCGTTTTAAAGGTATGAGTGGAAAAAATAGTTTTCTTACCATTTGGAAGGTGGTGAGGTATTTCTTCCACCACAAGTATTTTTGTACAGAAGGTCCAAAAGCACTTAACATGTAGTAGGAATACATAATGATATGCACGAATGTGTTTAAAAATCCAAAGAATGTGCTGTGGCCACCTGCAAAAGTTGTAAGGCTTACTAAAGGCTTATAAAAATGTATAATAACAATGCATGCAAATTAAAAGACAATAAAATTAAATAGGAAAGCTCTTAAGGCGTGGATAAATTTTAGGTTTAAAAGTCAAAATCATAAATTTGTACATAAAATTAAACAAATTGCTTTAAAACAAAATATTGGTAAACATAATGACTGTAAGAAACTTTTATTTATTTATTAGTTTAGTAAATAATTGTGTAATAATTTAGAACCTTAAAATGTTAACATATACATATTTTTAAATCTGAATATTAATTAAATTTAAACGTTGTTGTTTACCTGGAGTGAATTTAACGCCAAACCAGACGGACATGGGCATAACACCATGATGGATAACGTGTAGGGTACTGATATGGTCGTTTTTCTTACGTAGAACAAAAAATATCTAAAAAAGAATATATTATTATTATAATATTATTATATATATAACAAAAAAAAAGTTTTCTTACCGTATCCATAAATTCAGTAAATTTGGAAAAGTAGTACCACCAGGACGCGTGCACCATCTACAAAAAGTAAAGTTCATTTTTTTTATCTGGACTCGTGTTTTTTTGTTAGGTTGGTGGCTTATGCCAGTTTGACTTAGTATTTTTAGTACTTAAAAATGGTACATCTGTTAAAGAATTTAATTAAATACTTTTATACTGTCAAATTGACAATAATAATAATAATAATAATAAATAGCTTTATTCCAGAAAATATTTTACATACAAACACAATAATGCAAAACGTAAAATGGAAATGCGTCAACAACATATACATATATACTAACAATTGATCTTCAATAACAAAATTATTACCTATTAAAACTTAAAATTTAGGTATACATTTATGCTATATGGTACTATTTTTACTAATATTTCTTTTATACGATTTTTATACTGGACTAGATTTTGGATTATTTTAATTTCATTTGGCAACTTATTAATATAAATAGTTTAATGCACATATATTTACAGCTTTTTTCTGTTTTTGTAAGGGAGTGCATGGGAAAATTCATGTCTAGTGTTCTGGTATTATACGATTTGCTGTGTTCACTGAACTCTTTTTTATTTTTAAATAAAAACATTAAACAGTCATATATATATATAGCGCGTAGACAGTTAGAATATCACTTTTCCTAAACTCTCCCCTGCAGGATTCTTTATATTTTTTTAGTATCAGTCTCAATACCGCCTTCTAGATAATGAAAACCTTTTCAGTAGTTAAATTACTTCCATAAAATACAATACCATATTTGATTTTTGACTCGAAATTTGCATGATAAATGATTTTTAGACTTTTAAAATTAAGGTAATTTTTCAGCAGATCAAAAGTAAGGAATTCATCTATTTGAACCCCAAGAAATTTAACATTTTTTACAAAGAGCGTTTCTTGATTATTAAACGCCACTCTGTCATTTACTTCTTTTCTACTTTGTTTAGTTTTAAATAGTATAATATTTGTTTTTTCAGTGTTCAAAATAAACTCATTTTTGTCATACCAGTCTTTTGTCTTTGCGAAAATACTTTCAAATCTCTCCAAAAACATATCAAAACTCCTAGCTCCCACTAGAAGGTTGTTATCATCGGCAAAATTTGTCATACTTTGGTACTTATTATCATTTTTTATAATTTTACATAAATCAATTACCAAAATCAAAAAGAGTATAGGTCCCAGGATACTCCCCTGGGGTATTCCCAGTAGAATACCCTTTAACTCAGATACACCTGCATTTCCATTTTTTTCTATTTTTACTATTTGCTTGCGATTTGCCAAATATGATCGAAGCCATAATATTTATTATAGATAATTTACTTGTCAATTATAAACAAAAAGATAATTATGCCAAAAATAATAGCAACGAATTCGAATGTAAAAGCCCTTTTGAGGGCAAAACTTCATTTTGATGAAATTATGCCAAATGCCACAATGCCCTTATGGACATTTTTGGAATAAAAAAGTAACGAGTTTGGTTTTATAAATATTACATCACACATTATTTTCACATTATTCACCATTGGACAACATTTACGTTCACAAAAAATTTTAATTTCTTTTATATAAATATATATATAAATAACTAGGTACGAATTTCGACAACTCAACTTGACAACTTCACAATGTAATCTACAATAATTTATACATAACCACAATTAGATTTATAACTAGCTTAGTTTGTTTTAAACAATGCGACCAACTTGACAACTGTATTTACCAACCAAAACCGTAAATAGGTAAAAAAAATATTATACCGTACTTTTATTTTAAGTAAAAACAGCTGACGTCTCATAGCAGCATTCGGTTTTTTATCTAAACCTCCGCCCACCCAACATATCCCTTGTCTATGGTTTTTAAAAGGGGGGAAGATTTCAGTCGCCCACTCACTGGCTCTGAGTGAGAGTTGAACTCCGACATGCATTTTTAAAAAGCATCTTGCTACTATAAAGTTAATTTACTTTTAAAAATGATTCAGACACTTAAAAAGCTAAAAATCGTCTTAAACCGAAAAATATTTATGCTTTTAAAGAGACTTCAATAATATTTGTACTTACTCGCACTGTACTAGGTTTATTGGAATAATCTACAGGCTGACATCTTATGCTGTACTCTCCGGTCGCCCATCCACCCATGCAAATTTCGTAGAAAATCCATGTGCTAAATATTACTTGGAATAAATTATAAAATACTAGAATCCACTTGAGTTGAAAGGGTTTTCTATTTTCCATTAATTTTGGACCCAAAACCTAATAAAGAAAACATAAAATTATTTTTAATGTATAGTTTTTTAAAAAGTACTTCTGAAAATCCTCATATTTTAAGTTTTAGCTTTAAGGTTAAATCCATGTATTGTATGATCTAAGAAACTTTACCTTGGAGTAACTGATTTACCTTACAATAAAAATAACATTTTTTATTATGTCTTAAGTTAATTAAGAACATTAGTTTTTTTGTAAATAGCCCAACTTTTTACGAAAAGTATAAAAGAAATGTAATGGTTATTACCTTTACTATATATACATAAGAGAGACATATTCCTAAAGTGTAAAAAGGACTAGACATTAACGGCCAATCCGCTGTTCTCGGATCTGAAAAAATAATAAACGATTATAAGGTATTATAAAAATAGCTTTTTCTTATTTCTAATGTTGCATAAAGTGACCACTACTACTACTTAAACGCCCATTGAATTTGGTAAATTTTGATATCATTTTCACCGTTTGGAAAAAACTGTATAAGTGGATTTTTTACAATATGATATATGATCATACCACGTCAAATCTAACGTAATAATGAAAAAAACCAGTTCTTTGATTTTTTTTCAAAGATTGTGTATATTTTGTAGATTTTGTAGCTAGGATAATCACAAATCTGAATTTTGAATGTTCTACGATAATTAATTACCTAATGATAACTAATGATAGTACACGCGAAAACAAGAAAGTTTTTCCACTACCATTTTTGCATTACTATATTTTAGTAAAAAAAACTATGAAATTCACTGACCTATTTTATATATCATCGTTGTTTTTACCTCTAAAGACAATGATATAATTTATCCAAGCAAAAAAGGTTCTACCAGGTTCTCTGGCCAGAGAGCGCTAAAGGGTTAAAAACTGATTTATGTAATATCAAGCAAACTTTTAAACTTATTGAAAATCGGTTAGTAGGTACTTTGTTATCATTGATTACTGACAGTTCGGTTGTTGTTGTTCATTGTTTGTGGAACACTTAAAAAATAGCTACATGAGCATTAAAGTAACGTAAAAAATAAAAGGTGAAATTTAAAATCGACCTAAAAATAGCTGAGTACGCAAAACAAAAAACAATTCTCAACAAAGTAATCAATGATAACACAAATGTAAATTTTTAAATAATATAGATTATTGCACACCGTGCTGGCACATTTTGCGTCAGTTGTAGTAGGTCAGGAACAACCAGTGGCGGCCCAAAATTTCTACTTTAATTAAAAAAATTAATAAATTTTTTATTAAAAAATGGCACTATTGCAAAAATGATAGAGGAACAACTTTCTTATTTTGTCGTTTACTATCATCCTCTTATGACAACTTATTTGGTGTATATGTTATTGCTAATGTGCAAACTTGGATAGTTTATAAACTAGCTGGATAGTTTATAAACTAGCTGGATAGTTTATAAACTAGCCAAACTGTCAGCTATTTTAATTGAATACATATTTTCAACTAAATTAGCGGCTAGTTTACAAAATAACCAAGGATCTTGGCTAATTTACTTGAAATTATTAGGGAAACTAAAATAGCTGGATAGTTTGTATACTATCCAATTCAGTTTGGCTAATATGAAAACCAAAATTTCTAGTAACATAAAATAGCCAAGCTTTAGCTAGTTTGTAAACTAACCAACCAATTATCTGGCTAATTTATTAAAAGAGTGAGGTTACGGCATTGTTTTTTGTTTTGCCGGCTTAACCGGATTTGTTTTGTGCATTTTAACGTTTTTAAAATGAATCATAGGCAAAATTTTAACGCTTCCTTGTTAGAAAACTAAACAACACAACCCTACCGACCCCGCCCCATTGCCCCCCCCCCCGCCCTATTGGTCAAATGGTCAAAAATGAGAGAAAAAAACCCAAACCAACCCAAACTCAACAACACAACCCAACCGACCCCGCCCCATTGGGCCCCCCCGCCCCATTGAGCAAAAACCCAACTAAAATGGGCAATAGCCAGAGAATTAGTTGGTTAGTTTACAAACTAGCTAAAGCTTGGCTATTTTGTGTTACTAGAAATTTTGGTTTTCATGAATTGGTTAGTATACCAACTATCCAGCTATTTTAGTTTCCCTAATAATTTCAAGTAAATTAGCCAAGATCCTTGGTTATTTTGTAAACTAGCCGCTAATTTAGTTGAAAATACATTTTCAATTAAAATAGCTGACAGTTTGGCTAGTTTATAAACTATCCAGCTAGTTTATAAACTATCCAAGTTTGCACATTAGCCGTAACATATTCAGGGTGTTATGTAATTAATGTTATATATTAAAATGGGTTGTTCCTTAGGGTCCATAAAGAAGCACCTGAAACTTTTTTTTTCTAAATTCCAAAGTCTAAAAATAATTTATAATAACCTTTATCCTACCAAAAAGTACGCCACTGATCGACTAGGAACTTTAGGTTAATCTGGTGTATTTATTATGTTATGGTAACAACAGTGTTTCCAAAATCTCTCAAAAAAGTTGACAAACATTGTTTAAATTTAGCTTAATTACAAAAATGACAAAATTAACAATGCAAATTGTCAATTTGGCGTTTTTATTAATTGTTGGTTATTTCATTTTTGTACTGAAGGTAAATTCAAACAAAATCTGCCAACTTTTATGACAGAATCTAGTGCATTTCTTTTAAGGTTATGTTTTCAAATTGTAAATATCTTAACTAAGAGAAGTGCTTTTGGATTTATTTACACAAATTAAATGTTTAAAGTTTAACCTGTGAACTGGTCCCAATTTCATCTGAGTAAACAGAGAAAAAAACTGATGAAAAAATTAATTTTGTGGTTATGGATTTCAAATTTCAAAGGTACTAAATTTTCTAATCATTGCTTAAGCTAATAGCTGGATCAGTAAATAAATACAGAAGGGTATTAGAGCTTTAAGGGCATACAACTTTTGTATTTATTGAGTTTTTAATTATTTTTTGCAAGAAAAATTTTTAGTAACAATTTTTTACATCTGGCAACGCATAGCTACTTTGTTGGTTGGTATCTATGTACTCACAAAATACAGGTGTGCAGAGATAAACAATTGTGTAACCAGTGGCGTATCACAAAAAATATAAAAAACTTCTAATGCATATTTTTTCTTTATCTTTGGAAAAATGTTTTTTTAAATATTTTTCCTTTATTCCTTATGTCAAAAGGTATTCAGTATTTTAATATATAACATTAATTACATAACACCCTGTATATCTATGTACACAAAATTTGAGGAAAATATGAGTCGCTGTGGTGAACTGTTTGATCTGACATGAAATGACTGATATGAGTTATGAAATTTAGAAAATTAATCCAGATTTATGTCAACAATTTGGGTTCTTTCGTGTCTATTATTATTATTTTTATTAAAAATTGTAAACCTACCTTGGTATTTGTTTAAATATGAGTTTATTGTCCTAAACGAATCTACGACTAAGGCCATTTTAATAAATCTAAAACAAAAATAAAAGAAAATTAAAATAAAAAAATTATGTAGGTAATGTAAATAATAAAAAAACAATCAATGTATATCAAATATTAAACTCCGCTTAACTCATAGCTGGAAACTTAGTTTGTGGTACAGTGTTTTGGGCATCAAATATGCTTAAAAAACTGAACTAAAGAAGATGATTTATTATATTATATTATATTATATTATATTATATAATTTTAAGGATAATATTAAATCGTTTGTGGGGTACAAAGAGAAAAGTATATTTAATCTGTGGTCTATATAGACACGAACATGTTCATGCCTTTCCATTTCGTGAATTAAATTGTCTTTTAGAAGTAGGTAAAAAATCTAAAGCGTCCAAAATTTCCTCTTACCATACACAAAATTTGCCACTGACAATATATTAAAAACCTATTTTTTGAATTACCCTAACTGATATGAATGGACAGATGGTTTCAAATTTTCAAATTGAAAAAACATCTTTGCCCCAATCAACAAACGTAGATATTTTTTTAATTATTAAAATGCTTCCAATCTAAATAAATAAAATAAATTGCTAATATAAAAACGTGTTTTTTTTCGGCATTTTTATTGTAAATTGATAAATATTTATACATAAATTATTAATAATTATTATAATTTTATTTTAATTAGTTTTTTAATTACCGTAAAGGTAAAGTTAATTTTTTTTATTCGGACTTTTATGAACATTTATAGCAATGCTAATAATTTTCAGATATTTTGACATTGAAAATGTCTGCCTTGAAACCGTCACTAAAATGTATAACGAACAATTGACACCAAAATCCGACAATTAGATTTTAGACCAAGACGTGGTCTATCCAGGGATAAATGGTCTAAAGATTATCTATCCATTACTTCCATATCTTATAAGGTTCTATCCATGTAGCATTATGCTACTAGCATACACTAAGATTAATGTATCTGCTGATTTTATTATTAGTAGTTGATGTTTTTAATAATATATGGTATTATTATTATAGGATTATAGTTATTTATTATGATTGCATATTTGTAATAAAAATTACTCTGGTCGGCTCTTTCTACTCACGAAAAATTCTATATTTATAGACGTCCATCAAACATAACAAAAAACAGACTTACTTGAAATTTACTTTAATTGAAATTGAATATTCGATCAAATGTTGCAATGAATAAAAAATTTATAAATTTATATATGTAGAATGAGAAGGTCGTTAAGTTTATTATTTAAAAGTTAAACGAACAGTATTTTACTTAAAGATATTTATTAAAACATGTTTCATGACTTTACAAATGTAAAGGAAATACAAAAATATATGGCTCCGTTGATATAAAAGTGACAGTTTTTGACCTTGATGTAGGATTGTGAAGTTGTAGGCTTTATATCATAAAACTTTGTTACTAAATGCGTAACATAAAAATAAAGTCATTTTACAGAATGGCCGAACGAAAACGAAACAGGAGTTTTCAGGTAGTAAGCAGTGATTTTTTAAACAACAGTTTCAGATTTCATTGATTGATTTCTTTGCGCACTAGTCACAACTCCTAAAATTTGAATAGGCATAATAGGCACTATAGTAAATTTCATTTCATTCGTTTTAGAGATATTTAAAATTAAAGTTTCAACAGCAAACTACAAATAGTGTAGAAGAACTGTCGAATCATAAAAAAGCTTTCATCAGTTCTTTAGGCAAAGTTCTCAAAAACATAACATTGAGACCACATTTACCGCCCCAAGAAAGATCGGTTAAATACTTACAAACGCCAAACCACCAACGTTGGAGGCACAAGGGGTGTACGAAATTCCTTGTAAGAATTGTGACGCAAGCTACGTGGGATAGACCAATAGACGTATCAACGTTCGACGCAAAGAACATCGTAACGCAATCTTGAAACAAGAAAACACATATTTCTTAGCTAAACACGTCCGAAAAACCTCCCATGAAATTGACTTTGGAAAAATAAGGGTCTTGGCTAGCATCGAACACAGGACAAAACGTACCATCCGTAAAGCCGTTGAAATAGAAAAATGTCCAAGAAACCTCAACACAAGAGACGATATAGAGAAACTACCAACTCCATTAAAACCAACTCTTACAACTACCAAAACGCCACGCAGATTAACGAGATCAACGTAGCCGAAGATAACACAGTTACAATCGCAGTCACGGTTAATGACGCAGAAAGCTACACAGTAAAAAATTTTGAGTAAAATTTTACTCAAAATTAAATCAAAATGTATTTAATCTAGGTCCACACCAAATTGATTAATTTTTTTAACTCAGTGTGTTTTAGTAAACTATTTACTTTTTGAGTCAATATGTTTATCAAATTACGTACTAAAGTCCTACAAATTTTGAGTGAATTCTAGTCATATTTGAGTAAAATTTTAATGCATTTTGATTTAAAACCTAATTAAATATACAAAGGTCCTAAACATTTTGAGTGAATTTTAATCAACTTTTGAGTGAATCCTAGTCATATTTGAGTAAAATTTTAATACATTTTGATTTAAAACCTAATTAAATATAAATAAATTTTTAGTTAAATTTACCCAAAATGGTGTTATTATTTCAACTTTAAAAAGTGTTACGATTACTCACCAATTGATTAAATTAAAAAAGTGGGTTATAGGGGTTATAGCCAGGTTGAATCAAAAAGAAAATTAGAGAAAATAAATTTTATTTAAAACTCCATAGGAACAAAAACAAAACAATGTATAAACTATATTTATACTAAAAAACTAACAAAACATTATGTTCACATTACAAAAAAACATATTTTGCTGTGACAAAGTAGTCTGTCGAAACATAATTTTGATGAATCTCATATGGTTCTTTGTAAAAAATGTCATTTAAGCACAAAACCTCAACATTTGTATTAATTGCTTTAACAAGAAAACTAAAATATTTTTTATGAAAACATACAGTGTCCCATTTTTTTAAAACAAAAAATAGTTCCTCAGCTATAGAAAAAATGTCAAAAATTTCACCAAAAACAGGTAAGGCTCTGTCATTGTCGTGACCGATATAGATCATAAACTTTTTGTTATATACATAACCACATCTTACCCACTTATATGTTCTAATAATCGTCTCTTTCGAAATATTCTTTAGCTGGTTATTAGTTTTAACAAACTCCAAAATATCTTGTTCATATTCATATTTATTAATTTTTATGTCAATAAATGGACCGTAGTCACATTTAGGATTAGATACGTCCCTGTTCGAAAACCTTTCTTGATGGCGCCAAGTTAATGTCTTTGCCAAATTTTTAAAGTTATGAGAAGCTTGTGCAAGATTTTTAAAAAACGCGTGCTTACCTTCATATCTCATGGCCCATATGTGTATAAGTGGTCCCATCATTTGTAAAGCACGTGGATAGTGTACCATAAAGTGGTGCTTCGGTATAAGGTTGGTTTTGAATATTTTTTTATACAGTGCATGATGCGTTTTAATCTTGTTCTTTAAATCGTCTATTATTAAACGACTAACCTTTGGGGCAAATATAATACTCATGATGGATAAAAGTAGCAACAAAATTTCAAAAGCTTCAATTAAAGTGTCATCTATTAAGTCTCCTATTATCAAAGGCAAAAATCTCATTAAAACCCAAGATTGTGCCGCTCGAAGTCCAATCAAATGATTTTGTTTATCCAATATTAATATACCTGGTTTGTCTGTAGAATGTATCATACCAAAATTGAAACACTTTATACGGTTATTTATGGTGTCTAATGTAATATTTTTCTTTTCCAACAACAAATTTAAAAATAATTTTATTTCCAACGGGGCTGTGCCCTCTAAAACGTCATGCATTATGTCAACAGATATACTTTTACATAATTTAAAATGTTTTAGGTCATTTAATTTACTTTTATATTTAACGCCGTGTGAATGTATTATAGAAGCAGGGGCTTCGGCCATGTCAGAACAATGACTTTCATAAGACTCGTCTGTCCTAAGAAGAGCTTCGTTTTCCTCAAAAACGCTTTGTGTTTCATGTTTATCTACAAGACATATTCGGCAGTAGTAAATGGCAACAAATGACTGTACCATACCATACATTAAATTTGCCCCAAGATTGTCATGAGAAAGGGCAACAATTGTGCCATAAACAGGTTCTGAAAGTAAATCCGTCTGTATTCCGATCTTTTCTAAAATATGTAGATCGTTTATAATAGGAGACAAAATGGCATTAAAACCAACTTTTTTTATATCAGCTGAATAAAAAAGGGATACTAAATGAATATTACTCAAAAGTGAATTGAAATAAGGTGGTAAATTTCGAATAGTAAGATAGATGGCCCCCAACTTATGTATACCAGTTTTTGACCCGAGGGGATTAACATTATCAAATTCATCAAAATAAAGTTGAAGTTTTAAAATAAATTTATGTTTTGAAAAGTATGTATTATTTTTTATATAATCGCCATCATGAATATCTACTAAAATATTTGGATCCAAACTGGCATTTGTGTTTATTAAAAAATTGATGAAAACTCTGCTCAACAGAAGTTGTTTTAAGGTGTCCAACAATGGAACGTACATCATAGTACTCGGCACATTAATGTCGCTGTAGCATTTTTTTTTTGCATCATAAGTCTGTTCAATACGATGACCAATTACTATTTCTTTCGGCTCAACAATGCCCATTCTAAGTTCTTTGTTAACTTTATATACAGTATTGTATTGACGAAATGCTGCCTGAGCATTATTTTGTTGTTGTTTAAAAATGTTATGGACATCTTTTAAATTTGGATGCTGATGTTCGACAATTTTTCCTACACCAAAAAGTATATCATCAACCAATTTATTAGCAAAATTTATAACTTTGGGCATGTTAACTTTCGGTATGGAAAGTGACGAAACTTCTTGTACATAAGTGGCAACATTAAATTTAACATTTTCAGAAAAATTGTCATTGTTAGCGTCAGCAGAACAAACATTATCAAAATTATTAAAATCTTTGGTGTTATTATTACATACTTTTAAA